TTGTTGTTGTTGTTGTTGTTGTGTGAGGGACCGGGATGAATGAACTGTCCAGTGCTCACCGGGAATGGCGCCCTCGGTGCCGGCATCATAATCGTGGAGCGATACAACGCCTCAGGGGTGATGGAACCTTGTGGAGCTCCCCGGGGCAAACCCTTGCCCCGGGCACTGCTGGCACCCACAGGGAGCTGCTAAGCACAGAAATAGAAATAAATGCATGTTTAAATCGAAGCACGTTTACCCGCTTTGGCTACTGGAGATTATTATAAAGTACTATTGACAAGGGCCTGGAGTGACAGGACAAAGGGAATGGATTTAAACTGACCGACAGGTTTATTTTGGATATTGGGAAGGAATCCTTCCCTGTGAGGGTTGGGATGCCCTGGCACAAATTGCCCAGAGGGGCTGTGGCTGCCCCAGCCCTGGGAAGGTCCAAGGGTTTATTCCAATTCATTTGAACTAAACTGTAAAGTCATTCTCAGCTGTTGCATTCACAGCAAACTTGAAAGAGAAATGAAATTCATTTAATGTTGTCACGTAAATCCTAATACTCACCTAAATACTCATCCAAAACTCACCTAAACACGTTAAACTGGTATTTAGAGGACCTTATACAAATATCTGGGAAATATTTAGAATTTTAGCTAATAAAAAAATCTTATCCTCTAACAAACTACCTGCCATAGTTTTACCACACACTTTCCCACTCTCATTGTTTCTGACTTTCGTTACAAAATATCTATTGGCTGTTAATTACAGTTTCTAATTACACATTCCTTATAGTCCTGGCTCTGTGTACACTGGCTTTCAACACAAACCCTGTGGAGGGAGGTTGATAAAATTGTTCTTTTTGCTTCTAAAGTGGGCAGGGGAGGAAAAGGGATTAAATATAAATCAAAGAGGATCATACAAGAGTGCAGGTGCAAGATATATATATTTTCCTTTTTTTCCTTGGAATGAGATAAAATACAAGCAATCCACAGCTAGCAATAGTTACTATTTTCCTACTTTGCTATGTAAATAATCAGTATATCTTTTAGTTTTTTAGAGGTTTGGGGTAAACTGGGGAAATTCCCCCTTTGCTTTCAACACTGAACTACAATTACTGGTTCCTCTTCTCCATATATTTAAGACAACCATATTTTTCTATTTTTCAGATTACAAGTCTGTAGCTGTCCATGGTATTGTACCACTCCCCTCTCTCTCCCACCCCACGCTCAGCAAGGTCTAAATCTATTTATTAGTTCTCCAAAGATGCTTTTCCAGCTCCTCAGCACTAATTTAAAAGTATATCCAAGGTATTTACATACAACAGTTTTAATGACAACTCTTTATAAATAAAAGCTCTTCCTCAGCTTTGGAGCACATCAAACAAGTAGAACAAATACAGGACCCCCATTTAGAACGGATTTACAAGCAAAAATGGGAACCCCTTTAGGGAAATTAGGTTTCCAATCACTTTTCTGTAGATAATCAACCAATATTACCTTCTTTTAATCTATTCTTTGTGCCATTTTTCACTCCAGCAGTAGCTAAAAACGTTAGAGTTTGTAACTTTACACGTTTCCTGCTACTAAGTTTCCTCTCACAAAGTCTATTTGATCCAGATGCAGGACTTTTCTAATTGTTCCCAGCCTCAGGAGCAGCTTTCCTGCCAGGAATTTGGTGACATGCAGAGAGGAGGAAACATTTATAGTTAAAAGTGGCAAAAATCTACAAGTATTAACATGAAGACATTCTTAAGTTATAAAGCTGCCTTAGCCAGTATTTCATTTTAATGGAATGACATCCTATCCATAAATTATTATTTTCAAACAGACTAACCTGTTCCACTTCCAAAGCTTACTGGGAATGCCTGTGATCCACCAGAAGATGGGAAGTAGGTCTGTCCAGGGCTCCATGATCCAGGAAATGGCTCTGAAATGCTGAAAGGCTTCACACAACCAGAGAAAATTCCACTTCCAGCAGTGGGAGAGAAAGAAAGAGGGTCAACCTCTCTCAATCTCTCCCTTTCCATTCAGCATCATATTCTTCTCAGATCCCAAAATTCCAGGGCAGTTATTTGGTCCAGCAATGCTGCTCCTTGGGATAAAAATCCTACCTAGCATTATGGATTATTTATGGATTAATTGTTGTCCTTTTAATGTTTTTAAATCTTTTTCTAGATATTTGCTACCCTAAGTTCAGCTGAAATGAGAATTTTTTACTCCAAAACACAGGAAGAGTTGATTAATATCCAACCTCAATATGACCAATATTCCTAAAGGGCAATCCAAGTTATTTATTGTTTATATCCAAGATTCCTAAACAACTCCCTTTCCCCAACAAAGTATTTAATTCCGTTACCTCCAACTGCAACTTTGGGGAAAAAAAGGCACTGGACAAAGTGGTTTCAGTTTTGCTCTCAAAGAACTCCAGCAGTGCCACCCTGTGGAGACTGGAATATTTGTTATCCATATTCCTGTAAACCAACAAGTGACAGGATCTGCTGGGAAGCAGGGCAGGAAAATTTTTCACTTAAAAACCCACCAAAAAAGGCAAAAACTTGAAGAGCACCAGCTTAAGGTAATTTACTGTCATTATATTACATCAGGGAAGTGCCAAAAAAAGGCATTTTTGGGCAGTAAATATAGACTTTGCCAGTGTTCTTGATGGGTTTTTGTTTAAGAAAGGTGTTCAGAAAGTTCAGTAAAGTTGCCACAAACATCTGTTCTCCTCTTCCCCCAACAAGAAAAGATTCTAATAAAGCGATTTTCTACAGAACATCCTCCACAAAGGTGGTTTAGTGTGAAGATGGTAATTTACTGAGTGGAATTTTCCTTAAAAAGGATTTTATTTCCCTTCATTTAACATGAAAACAACCCTAATTTATTAGTGAATACATAATTAAGTAAATCAGTTATTTTTTAAGATTTCTACCAAAATAATGATGTGCCTCCACATCACACATGGACCTTTGGCAGGTAAAAACTCAGGAAGCCACTTTCTTCAAATAATCTCTGCGCCTTTTGATGAAAAATGAATGTATTACAGAAAGAAGCACCCAAAGCACCAGAATTGCAAGTTTTAATGTTTATTTTCCCCAAGACAGCCTAGCCTGCACTCTACTTGGATAAATTCACAAGCTAGTTTCCGCTGCTTCTAGTTTTAAACTTTTAACCATGTTTCTGATGACAAGGAATGCTGCAAAAATACTCTAGTCCAACAAAGAGTTATGATCACAAAATAATCTTTATCCATTCTACAGTGTTTCAGAATTACCAGTTGATTTTTAAAACACAAGGTAGATATAGATGCTAATGGTGGCTAATCTGGTATGTTTTATTTATTATAGCAAACTGTTGTTCATGCAACACTTGTGCTCAAAGGGGAAGGCACAGCATTTCCTACAATGAGCCACCTTATAAAGAGTTCAGTTTGTACAAATTTGTAACCTCACCTTGAATTTAGTGTGCAGGACCTCAAAACTGAGGCATTCCTCCAATTATAAAAACACTTGCATCCTTTTTGTGCAAGTTTTAAAAATACAAAGTTTTTCTCTCTAAAGTGGCTCAAAATAGATTGTTCATGGCTGCCTACATCTAAGATAAAAAGAGTCTAAAACAATTGGATTAGGCATATTAAAGGTGTTCAAACCATGACTTGATTTGTACATCTATTCACACCTCTTTTCTCGGTCTTTATTCGGCAGTACATATGCACCAAATTTCAATTTTTAGACGTTTCCATATCATTTTCATAGAAAACAAAGTTTGAAAACAAGTAACATTGAAACACAGCACGGTATCCTACCACAACAGAAACATTTTGGTTACAGGACTCAACAAAATCTAAAAATGAACTATGCTGTAGATTACCACATGCAAAGGTCTTCATGTTATCTTTGAAAATGAAAAGGATGAGATTTTTTTATTACCACATTTTACTGCTTTCTACTATTATGGCAACTTGTGTACTGCAACACAGTCTAGTTTGAAGGGAAATGAATGATTTATTTTTTTTCCATGCAAAAATCTACAAATTAGTTTTGATGATATGGAAAAGCTTTTCATAACATCAAACATTCATCTGGTGCAAATGCACAGGGAAGCCTTCCTGAAATTCTGACTTTACAAACAACTAGAAAGAAGCCGTACAGGAAAGAAATTAAAAATAATAACTTGAAAGAAAAAAAAATAAAAGAGGGGGAGAGAAAAAAAAAAAAAGAAACAAAACAAAACAAAAACAAAGAGAAACACAGGCTGCAGGAGTAAACCAGAGTCTGCTGCTAAACCGGTCTGGTGTCCAGTGTAAGGTGACACTCCAAGTCGGATGGTTTAGGTTGTTCCAGCCCCCTGAAGGCGACTCAAGCTCCATGCGCTCACAGACAGCATCACACCCACTCTCTCATCACACGGCAGGCCCGGCGCTGGCCCGGAGCCCCCGCTGGGATCCAGCCCGGAGCCCCCGCTGGGATCC